GGGATAACTCATGGAAAAATCGATTATCCTTATCAGAAAAAATGTTCCGACCCCAAAATGAACCAATACATTCGGGTCATTCAAGAAAATATGTTTCTCGGACTAGTGACGATGTAGGTTTTCATACATTCAATGGGCTTGTATGGAAAAATCGGGTAAAATCTCTCGATTAAAGCCTTTGGTTTTCCGAAGCCTAGTTCTATTAATTAATCATATAGTGAAAACGGCTTGCGTGGAAATATGGGCAACAAATAACCTTTCATTTTTGTTAGGGAAAATCGATTTTTCCATGTGTTATCCCCAGGAGCCACTAGTAAATTTCCTTTCATTCTACTTAAAATCGATGTATTTTTCAACCCTCTTTGAGACTTGTATGCGAAAATGAGACACCTAAACATGTCACTATCTGACCGTCTATAATTTTAAGACAGAAATCACAATAAGAATTTTAAAATTTGGAAAATTTCAATTGATCAACTTTATGTGGCAGCGGTTATGCGCATGATCGGCCCTTACAACTACTGTTAATATAATGCGTCGTTGCCATATCCATTTTTTTAGACTATTAAAGGAAATTATGTTTCTATAAAATAAAAAAATTTATAGAATGTTTAATAAACACTTTTAAATTATTACTTACTCGAAATATGTTTTTTATACAAAAAATAATCTTTTCAAATACCTCTGGTCCTTTCAAATATTATCTATTTTTGAGTTTCCATACTCATACGTCTTTTATTTTAGGCAAAACCACTCAAACAAACCGATTTAGCTGTTTGTAACTTTTGTAAACATGAGACTAACCTGTAAAATCTAAAAAGTAAAAAAAACATAAAAAAAACAATATAAAAAATAACATAAAAAAATAACATAAAAAATAACATAATAATTAAAATTAGGCCTAATTACGAGTAAATTTTAGTAAATATTCACATTCAGTCAAAAAAGAACTGTCATAAACTTTGCGAATTTCGGAGTAACATTTTCGTTTCATAATTTAAGTGAAACTGTAGGTACCTACCCTTATTAGGCAATCCAACATCCTGTTAGAATGTACAAAAATGGCAGATGCTTGGCAAAAACAACAAAGTCTCTTGACCTAACTTTTTCATTAGTATTTCACTATTATTAAAAGTCATACAATTAGTATTCATATATTCAAAATAAATATTAAATTATGGCGTTTTTAAATTAAACACATCGAATAAAAACTCAAAAAAATAATACAAACTTAGACTAATAACATCACTAGAGGTGTTTTTGTGAAGGGAAGTACGTACTTTTGTTGTTTTTGCCAAGGGTCCACCATTTTAAGTCACGTGATTTGGATTGTCTAATTGAATGTATGCGTCCTGAAGAAAATGCCGAGACAAATTTATTAAATTAAGCAATGTTTTTATACCTTTTGAAAATTTTTTTTCCTTAATTCCAAGTGTAAATGTATCCTGTAATTCAGTCATAGACAGTGCCTTAATTATTTTATTACTAAGCTAAGGTCTAAGGTATTTAGGTACCTTTATTTTTTAGATGTTTAGATATATCACCTCTAATTACAGTAGGTAGGTGTACAATTGAGACAACCTGTGTACGTTCTTTTACATAAAATTCGTAAAATACATTTTTTTAATGTGTATACATAAAAGCTTGATTTATACAATGAGTATTTCAAACAAAACAAGCCAGTGAATGACTTCATTAAAGTCTAGATAACAATAGTTAAAATAAATTCTACTCCATGAAAAAATAAATAAATATACTGAGCATGAATATAGAATTAGCCCGGTAATTTTTTTTGTATATGCCACCCATCATTTTTATTTGACCGCATGTATGAATAATGTTTAAACTTTAGGGAAACGCTAAATAAGTTTAACTTCGAATATTTGAATAATAAAAAAAATGTAAAAATAAAGTTTGGTTTAAGTATATGACATAATTAATAGTGCTATAACCTAAGCTTAAAATATCTCAGGAAAAGGGATATAAATAAAATTAAGACAAATAATACGGTCAGAATAAGAAAATAAAAATCCTAGCAGTGGCGATCATATCTTTTCGCTAAGGGAAGCCACTAGGCCCAGGTCATAATATGTGCTGGCCTCTTAGGTTTGAAAATTAAAAAAGCAGAAAAATAAAGAAAATAAGCATTTGCGAGGGATCGAACAAGGAACCTCCGAGTTGAACTCTTGACGCATCTACCAATTAGACTACCGAAGCAAATATCTTGTAGATTTGAAGTCATCAGAATCCGGTGACGAAGGACCATGTTTACGATCCGGCTCGAAAGACCATGTTTACGTTTTGCCCCTGTAAATTCATCGGCTAAAGAGCCGGTACTGTATGTTTTACTTTAAATACCTCCTTGTCCGTGGTAATGAAACGTTGATGAATATTACATCCATTATTCACTTACTGACAGGAGTAACTACACATATTATTATACATAATATGTACACTGAACTTAAAAAAGAAATTACACTACATAGTTGTAATATTGTGGCTTTATATTTCTGGAGTTGGCTAGTAAATAAGGTACAGATGTTCGTGGTTGAAGTTAGACTTGCTGTATCTTGTGATTGATGAGATGTTGCTACCTCCCATCTTACCATATTATTTTATAACGGACTTCTGCTTAGATACACCATATGGACACTGGGATTGTCATTTTTATTTCATTGTGTTGAAGCGAGAATTGTTATTTGTCAGATATACTCTCCGTTATTGGGGAAGGGAGGTAGTGTACGTGATTTTTCTTATTATTTACAGGCATATGTTTCGATTCTATTGTGAGGTCCGGCCTGAGAATGCTATGTTTAAATTGAGCGATGTATAATAGGAAATTTAAACAGTATAGAAGGACGCCAAGCTTAGGTCGAACTTAAATATATTCTTCGTTGATTTTCTTAAGGACGGTATAGGGGCCTTCTCAGTTCCGTTGCAGTTTCTGACAAAGTCCTTTACGGCGTTTGGGATTGTACAGCCATACTGGATTACCTCTCTCAAAATGTGTCCCTGCGGCATGCATGTCGATTCTAGCTTTTGCTTTATAGCTATTGACTTTCAAACATTGCCGAGCAAATTAGTATACCTTCTCTTATCTTTTTCTTACGTTCTGTATGTACGTGGAAGGTCTACGGCCCGTTTCTTCCCAGAAGGCTGCCTTCCAAAAAGAAGATCATGTGAAAGTGTCATCTCCCTTCCAGTAATCATCATGGATGGAGTTCAAATAGAGGAATTAAAATGTCTGTCCCAGTCCTTTTAATTATCAGAGACGAACATTGAAAGATACTGGCATATGGTTCTATTGTATCTTTCTGCCATTCCGTTGGACTGTGCGTGGAGAGGCGTAATGCGTGTTTTCCTGATGCCTAACAGTTTCATCAATTCTTGCCATAATTCGGATTCAAAATTTCATCCTTGGTCAGAATGCAATTCCAGTGGGACTCTCGCAATGACATTCGTCATAAATGCTTCAGCTACCGTCGTGGCTTCCTTATTAGGAATAGGCGCCATTTCGGGTCACTTTGCAAAATAGTCCATAACAGTCATCAAGTATTTGTTTTCCTTTTCTGTTAAGGGAAGCGGTCCAAGGATATCTATGCTATTTTACCTCGGCTTCTTGTTTTGGGCCCTTTTCTGTCATTACATAGGTCACAGTCCTTACACCAATCTTCTATATCCCGTCGGCAATTGACCCAATAAAATCTTTCCTGAACTCGTGCCAGTGTCCTTTTAGTACCAAAGTGTCCTCCTGAACGGCTGCTATGAAGCTCCTCCAACACACTTCTGACATGTAATTTTGGCAGTATCACTTGGCGGACTAGATGTACTCCATCGGGGATCTCCCACTTCCGCTGCAGTAGGCCATCGTGAAAATACAGGAAATCCCACTGAGTCCAGTGGGATTTCAAAGTACTGTCATTCCTTTTAGTAGGGGTTTAATTAGACATCCCTAGGTCTAAAATTTGTAGTTTAAACTTGATCAAAATATTAAAAAAATACTTATATTTCCTCAAAACTTCTTAAACCAACTTAACAAAGTACGGTCCCTAACGTCTACTTTCTGGTCTTGATAGGCAAAACATTATTTTCTGGACGAAAAATTGTTCAGAAAGTGTATACTTTCTGGTCGGGCTTAAAAAAAGGTTCTTTTCTAGTGACGCAATAATTCTTCTCAGCTTCAATGTTGCTTACCGAAGCTTGGCTATAAATTCTTCTTTCTAACTCAACCATTTCAGTTTTAATTTGCCTTTCTAACTGTACTATAGCCATTTCTTGTTGTTTTAAATTCTCTCGTTGTAACAAACCATTCATAATTTCAACTGCTTCTTTTCTACGCCTCTCCTCATTCTCCTCCTTTTCGTCCTTCCCACGCCTTTCCTTTTCATATTTTTCCGCTTCTCTGCGCCTTTCTTTCTCCCCTTCTTCGACCATCCTGTGCCTTTCCTTTTGCTCTTCTTCAGCTTTCCTGCGCCCTTCTTTCTCCTCTTCTCGCCTTTTTCTCTCCTCTCCCATCTTCAAAAGCCGTGCTGGTGGACCTGAAGTATCCATATCTGTTTCGTGCGCAGTTGATCTAGTATTTACCATGAATAGAATGCTAAGGTAACTTTTATTTTATATGTGGAATATAAAATGAAAGTTTCACCTTTGGGCCACACTGTATAATCCTATATAAAAATCCATACACCATCACGTATATTTAACTGACACGGTAAGATGTAAAAATATATCTGTTGCTCACGCACATACATGAGAGACATGGCAGTCGACGTGTTAAAAAATACAATAAAAAGTCTCCACCCGTTGAAAATTATCCATTGAACTGATTCCAAGAGTTTAATAACAAGAAAAATCTAATTTAAGTAAAACCTAATTGCGTCTGAGTCACTTTCACAAACGAACATAAAGCTGCCAAGTATGCCTTTCCACGACAACTGGCTCGATTTCATCTACACTTTAACCTCGATTATTTCGGAACGGCCAGAAAATAAAATCAGAAATGCAGTTTTATATTAATAAATTATCATTTTATTTTGATTGTTACATCGTTAAATTAAAAAAAATTGCATAAATGAAAATACTCGAATTGATCACATTGAATTCAAACGAAAATCACTTGGATAGTTTTTTGAAATTTTCGCATTCCTTTTGACACTTTTGGCAGCTCATCATCGAGTTACTGAAACAGAAAATAACAACTAAATAATAAAAAATTTCATACAAAAACAATTTAAATTTAGGCATAAATCGCCCGTTTGCGTCATGGTACCAGATGGGTACATAATATGAATCAATCGCTTGAGTCATGGTACTGTCCTGCGAGCCAGTATCTCAACTTCTGGCAGCAATGTCAGCTTTATTTATACTGGGCTAGTTTTTTTTTGTAAGTTGTGCTTTCAAGTAAAAGGCCACGTTTAACATATGCGTCTTTAGGATAGAGGGCACTGACATTCTTACAGACCATCAAACAAGAGAAATTCAGGTTAGAGGTCAGGGAAAGCTGGAAGAAGGGAGAGTGACGTCTTAAAAAAAACAGTTTTATGTATTTTTTTCGTTTACAATATATTATTAAAAATTATTTATGGTTTTGAATAAAGTACCTAGAGAAGCCCTTCAATACTTAAATTATTATTTTCTATATCAGCATTATTCACTTATAATCTAATTTTTCTAACAATTCGAATGTCTACCTTCAATTGAACTTCTATGGACAAACTCAATTTAGATGAAAATTAGGCGTATCGGACCTGTCCTGAAATCTCTAGACGTTCTCGAAACACTTCCTCTATAAGTCGGTACGTGTGTAAAATAACTTCCCAGTAACTTCTCGTAGGAGTCTGTTTGGCTCGATTGATCAACGGCTGCGGAATACAGGCGATAACGTAAACAAAGATCAGTGCCGAACTGGTTGAAAATGGCTCGCACGACAGTACAGAAGGGGTTAAATAAGTCATACATACAATATAATTATTATACATTTACATGTTCTTGGGATAAATAAGCTATAATGCATAAATGTCCATATTTAGAGGATTAAATAGCAAACGTTTAAATGTTATAGAACCAAATTAAATACCACTTTTTCTACAATTTTATTTGCTTACCTTTGCGCCACATTTTGTTAAGGCTACAAAATATAAATAAATTTACACAGTGGATTTATACATTTCTAAACATTAGCTCAAAACAATTTAAAATAATTAGACTGAAAAATTTTTGTCGGTTTAAAATTGCCGATATTTAAAACAAAATAAAGAAGGAAAACCCAAATAAAGTTAAAAATCGTTTAAAATAGTATTTAAGAATCTTACCTGATTAGTTTTCTTAAATTTTCGTTTTCTATTGCTAAGGAATGTAGTTTGGTTTCTAAGGAATCGATGGAAGCCTCTTTATCGCGAAGTTGCACTTTGAGATCACTAATATTCTCTTCTAAGGCCTCGAATATTGCCTGGAAAATTATTTTAAAGAATTAGACAAAGCCTGTATAGTATACCTAAGTAACTTAAGTAAAAGGTTGGAGAGAAAGGCACTAGTGGTCAAATGTCAAAAGTCCATAGGACTGGCTTGCTATAGCTAATTCCTGAAGAATATTGCTCAAAAATAATCACAATACCTAATGGGGTAGACATGGAGGACTTTAGAGGAATATAATAAATAAGTGAAGAGAAATTATACAGGTTTGAGTTTAATGGACAAAAATGTACAGCGATTTGAGGATGAGGTGTAGAGCTATTTTAATCCAGGTTGTCAAATTAAGTACCTAAACAAAGAGCTCAATGGGTAAAACATGCCCACATTATTGTTTTGAATTGTGAAATAAATTCTGCCTTTACCAGTTTTCAAGGAAGTGACCTAGGTGTAATGAGCGATAAAAATCTTATAAACTCACTTTGGTTTCTTCACTAGTCTCGGAATATACAGGCGGTTCGTTCAAACAGAAAAAATCCTGTATCTCCTGTGATGAGATGAGTTCAGGTACACTTAGTATAGCATTGACGAGGGTCTGCAGTCCGCTGACCCTTTCTTCTAAAAATATGGGATCAAAATTGTTCTTCAACCATCGTTTTCTGGGTAAATGTTGAACAACTTCCGGGTGAAGCGTTCTCAGTCGGTTGCACAGCCGGACGAAGTCAGTGTAGCGCCGGAAGACATACCAAAAGCCACCCGTCAGTTTATTTTCTACTTTCAGTTTGTATACCTGTAATTGAAACAAAATATGTGAACATTAATAATAACGTGTAGAGGTAGAGGCTTGTATCACAAAACAAGGTTACAATATGACTATAATTTTAGAATGAAACAAATAGAAGAGCCGGAAGAGGCAGGTACGAATAATATCTATATCAACGGTTCTAAAACAAAACAAGGTTCAGGATGTGGAATGTACTCCAGATCCTTAAACCTAAACAAAATGGGCTGTGAGCAATAGTACCAGTGTAGTTCAAACCGAGCTCATAAGGATTCTCTGAGCAGTAAAAGAAGTTAGCAGAAACAATATAACTGGAAGGAACAAGTTCACCTATACGGATAGCAAACAAGCACTACTCCCTCTGGACAGACCACGAATTTACTCAGGGTTAGTGCTAGAATGTCACGCTGATTCACTAGCCAAGAAGGCAGCCAACCAAATACTTTTTGGACCTGGCCCTTCTGTTGGACTGACAACATCGATAGTGACACACCAAATTAAAAGAAAGATGGGATTAAACAAGAAACTGCAGAGTTACCAGTGAGCTTTTAAGTTATCCTGACAACACTACAACAAACAAATACTTGGCTATGGCTAGAAAGAATCTGCGCCTGATCACAGGCATTCTGAGTGGTCATTGTACGGAAGCATCGCCATTGCATGGGGCTGTCAGAATCCGCACTCTGCGGGGGTGGGAACAAGAAGATGAGATCATCGCCATTGCATGGGGCTGTCAGAATCCGCACTCTGCGGGGGTGGGAACAAGAAGATGAGATCATCGAGCATATCCTCTACGATTGTCCGATGCTCTTATTATTTATTAGAAGATTTATATTCGGCGAGTATCGGCTAACACCGGCCGATATAAGAGAATTGGCGACGTTGTCAACTACATTGAATCTGTGTGATGGCTCACTAGCTAGGAGGTGCCTATCAATTTAGGAGGATTTATAATGGGCCTAGAGGCCTAAGTGCCGTGGGGTAATCCGCCCTCGACACGTTACAGATACAATATGACTATTTCGTCAATATCGGTCATTATTATTTATACGAACCTATAGATTTTATTACATGAATAAAAGATAATACAACAGATGTATGTGCTTTCAGTAAATAAAAAAATAAAAAATCATATAGATAGATACATTTCGTCATCTGTTTCTGTTACCATATTCGAGGATTGATACTCACAAGTATTTGTAATATTAAGTAGATAAATGAATTATTTGGGTAAACAATTCACTACAAAAAACATTAATAGAGGTTACCCATTCTAAATCACATAGGATACCTAAACGGTGTGCAAGTCGAACCCATGGTTACAAAATAAAATTTGATACTAGTACTAGTAATGACAAAAGTTGATTTTATCATAAATAATTTTGTATAGAAAAACCATTTGCGCGCCCATTTTCTACGGATAATGTACTATAACATAACCCTTAAAAATGTAATTTGCATTTTTTCTAATGGATTTAAACAGGTTTCATTCTCAATGAATCATACTTGCATACCAAATTCTAATTAGTTTGTAATAGGTATACAAAATAAAGAGAATATATATTAATGAAATTATATAATTATATTATTATGAAACTGAATGTTTTGATAGCTGACTTTGTAATATTTTTATTGAGAGTGCACCACAAAGCACACAGAGGTTTTAAGTGAATGACCAAGGTCAAAACTGACAACTGACATTTCTTATGGTACTGACTCCAAACACAAGAAATGGTGACTGGTGAAATTGTGAAACCGTCCTCTATTATTATGGGTGAAACTATGGAGTGTAGAAGGAAGGAGGACAATCTTATATGGTTGTTTATCTCAAAAAATGTCCCCCAAAATGTATAAAATTAAGATGGCGCTCGTGTACTAGAAGGGAAAGATACAATGATATATAGTTATATAGATAAGCTCGCCCATATGTAAATCAGACGACGAAAAGCACTATTGTCGTCTCTTATCAAAATGTCTCTACGATTATAGACTTAGTCGCTTTTTGCACGATGGCTTCTCATGATGTAGTTTTTAGCTTTTAGGCTATACCCTTCAAGCATATATACCCTTACACTCCATACATATGGGTGAGCAATATATACACCATTAATGTCATTGTGTGATCTAAATTATCGACTGTCTGCGTCCATTTAGTATAACATAAGCGCCATCTTAATTTTATACATTTTGAGGGGCACTTTTTGTATATAGAGATAGTTCTTCTTGCCTCTATACTCTATAGCTGAAACTTAACCAAAGAAGCCAAATATATTATGACGTTTATTTATATTTTTGGTTATTCTGATTTTTTCGTCTGATTTTAGTGATTTTGTTGTTGGCTTTGGTTTTGGGTTTTTGTTTATAGTTTCTTCTTAGTTATTGGCAAAATTATTGTGATGTTCTGTTTTTCTATTTCCTACTGTGTTTTGCAATGATTTTGGTGCTACGTTGAAAACTTCGAGAAAAACTTCATTGATTCACCATGCATCAGTTTGGAAATCCATAAAAAGACAAACGGGTTCAACTAATAGCTGGACGATATTCCGAAATATTTTTCACATAAGAGAGTATACCATCTGTATTTGGAAGGAAAATATTTATCAGTGAATGAATAGTAAAATCCAATATCTAATTACGTTTGTCCTCAGGTAAAAAGACATTTATAAAATATATTACTTTCTTATTAATAAAATGTAATATTATCCTAGTATTAATAAATAATAGAAACAAAAGCAGCCCAAGATTGGAACCTTGTGGTCCCCGCATTTGATTCCAATTTTCCAGATTTATTCCCGTTGTGCTTGACAAGTATATATCTATTTTCTAATATTTAGGGATAAGCCATAAATACTCAACTTCAGTAACAATAAATAATGATCAACTTTATCAAACACTTTTCTGTATACTATTTCATAGGGAGAATATTGCTATTTCTTAAATGGTAACAAATAGAAAGTTGGTTAAATTAGACAAAAGTTGCGCAGTTTTGTGCTCATTAAAATCGTGCCAAGAAACATTTGATATCTACAGGGAGATTCAAAATATCGGACAAAAAATGAATGAATTTAAAGTACTGACAATTTTCATTATCATTAAGAATAGGTTTAGGTGGCCAAAATGTATAGCTGTATTTCTCGATCCTGTAAAAGCTTTTGACACAGTGCCTCACGAAAAACTTCTAAATATTTTTGAACTTTATGGAATGAGGGGCATTGTGTTAGATATTTCCTCTACCAGACAACAAATCTTCAAAGTTAGAGATGTATGCTGTAATACTCAAAGTATTTAAATGGGGATACCACAGGGCATGTTTTTAGGATTTTTCCTGAAATGTTTAAATTGATATCGTTTTTCGAATGCATAATATTCTTCTTAGTGTGGAAAGAGTATAACAAGTTCCTATATTTTTTCCTATGTCCCACCCCCTTCCCCCCTACAGAGAATTTAATAATTCATAAAACCATATTAAATAAAATTATTTTTTAGTTTAAAGAATAAGTTGTCCAAAAATATTGTTGTGCCTTCATCATACAGAGTGTAAAAAATTAAGCATCAATATTTTAAACTAAATAAACCAAATATGTTTAAAAGGGTCTATTGTAAGGAGACTCAGCCGCGGCGCGTTGTTTAATACTTAGGAAGTGCGCACTTACAATTTGCCACTAGGTAGACTTATCTATAATATCCATTATATTAAAAAATTATTAAATTATCCGAAGTATTGTGACGCGAAAGCCGTCTCTGTTCCTTGTTTACTAATTGCCCGCGGTACGAAGTCTAGCGCTGGCCATATAGAGACAAACCCACCGCTTTGAGAAGCTACCGGATTGATCCCTTTGCGGCGTATGAGTCATAGAGGCAGTTTTCGATCGTTCTGGAAAGCCAAGAGAGTTCTGGTACAGAGTTGGCTTTATATAAATAGCGCGAGTTCGTCGACGGACGAGAAGATTGAATTTAAGTGTTGAACAGTAAATACATATTGTAATAAATAAATTAAAATTTTGAAAAAATAAATTATAAATAAAGTGTTTTAAATAAATAAACTATTAATAAATTAAACAAATATTACAGTATTTTGAAAATTATAAAAATAATTTCATGGAGCATCCATTATAGGCCCTTTATCTCTATAGGGGGGCCACAAGAAAAGCAATGCATAAGAATTGAGTTCTCTCTCATATATTCTGGGTCTCCCTGTATACAATACCTAAATTAAAGATTAATGCTGTGTCATTTTCGGAAGAAACAGCTAAATCTGTTTCAGTTTTTAAGAAAGAGTTAAGATACTTGATGAATAAAAAGCTCTATAAGGGGACGAAACCTATTGATTTTGAAAACATCTGAATAAAAATAGGGGTGGGTTAAGTTGGGTTGAAATATTAAAAAAAAATTCTAACTCAAAAACGGAAAATGCTATTAACTTAATTTTAATTAGCTTAATTTTGATCAAAAAATAATTAAAAGGAGGGGTCAAAGGGGATTAAGGGGGGTTGAAATTGAAACATAAATCAAAAATGAAAAGCGATATCAACATAAACTTTTTAGTAAAAAACAAGCTCTATAAGGGAACGAAGCATATTAATTCTGAAAAAAAAAACTGAATAAAAATGGGGCGATAAGGGGGGTTAAAATATTTAAAAAAATCCTAAATCAAAGACAAAAAATAATATCAGGTCGAAATTTTTAGTAAAAATCAAGCTCTATAAGGGGACAACGCCTATTGATTTAAAAAAAAATGTGAACAAAATGGGGGTTAAGAGGGGGTTGGAATAAAAAAAGGAGAACTCACCAAAAAGCGATATAAACATGAAATTTTTAGCAAAAATCAAGCTCTATAAGAGAATCAAGCCTATAGATTCTGAAAAAATCTGAATAAAAATGGGGGATAAGGGGGGTTGAAATATTGAAAAAATACTAACTCAGAAACAAAAAATCGGTAAAGCATTTTACCATCGTTATATAAATTGAAAAAAAGGGAACTCCTAAGCACTTAAATTTTAATAATTTAA